GATGGACTTAGAGGCTATAATACTGAGTGATCTATCACAGAAACAAAGAACTGAGTATTACATACTCTCACTCATAAGCGGACTTTGAACAACTATTGTAACATTATAAGAAAGGAAACTGCCAGGGAGTGGGGGGGCACACCTCATCAATAAGGGTACCTGTATAATGAACATTTGTATACCTAACCCTGAATTGTACCCCATATATTCAAAATTAAAAAAGTAAATGTTGTTCAAAGGTGCAGATATCTACTGAAAGTATTAATATTTTTGAAGCATATAAATTATTAAAGTTAATTTTCCTCATTAACACAGTAATTCATTTTCATTTATTTATTATTATGGTTTGAGATTTATTTACTACCATTATTTAATCATGGGCTAAGGCACTGGTATGATATGTGAATGTATGCCCCCAAATGAATAAGTTGAAATCCTAGCGACGATATTCGCGGATGGAGCCTTTTGGAAGGTGACTAGGTCATGAGGACAGAGCCCTGTGAATGGAATTAGTGCTGTTATATAAGAAGCCCTGGAGAGCTGCCTTGGTGAATCCAGCATGTGAGGACACTGCTAGCAGCGCCATCTATGAACCAGGAAACAGGCCCTCACTAGACACAGAACCTGCCAGTACCTCCATCTTGGACTTCTCAGTCTCTGGATCTGTGAAAAATACATTTCTGTTGTTTATGAGTTACTCAGCTAATAATATTTTGTTAGGACAACCCGAATGGACTAACACAAGGACACATCTCAACTAGCAAGAAATCTAAAGTTATGACATCAGGAAACCCCCTTTCTCTAACAAGTGCCATTCCTTTACCCCTCCCCCCATTTTTACAGCATGGCTGACAAGGGGGGAAGAGAGAAAAGTGAAGGGGCTGGCTGGAAAGGGAGGAGAGAAGATTCACACTGCAGTGAGCAGCCAGCATCATTTGACCGTGGCTTCCAGACTTCCAGGGTTTCATTCCCTCAGAGTCCCGGCACCTTTAGTTGGGTCATGTGGTCATTTAAACCTATCTCAACCCACATGCAGATAAGAATACTACGCAGCCATAAAAAAGAACAAAATCATGAATTTTGCAGCAACCTGGATGGAACTAGAGT